TGTCTTCCTCGTAACCAGGGCAAATGCTTCGAACTGAAGCAGGCTCGAATCTCTGCTTGCCCAGTCTGGGACCAGGTGCAGATGACAAGCCTGCGGGTGTATTCCACGTTCATGACAATGGAGGCCGTCCCTTCAAGGCAAGTGGCCGGTGTGCAGTTGATGCAGGGACAGTCGCCCTCAACACCCCCCCCCCCCACTAAACGAGGCAGCTGGTGTTGGCCAGAACAGAAGGCTTGATTTGCCCGAAGTGGGGTTCGGGTTGTGTGCCAAAGAATATCCGAGGTCAATATTCAGAATCATTCAGATGTCATTCTATGTAGACGCAGAGAACCTGATTCAACTCCCTCAGGACTCAGTTGATTTGCTTTTTATTCTATTGAGGTACCATCGTTGCAGTGTGTGCTACTTGTGGTTCGGGGAGCGATCAGGAATCCTATGGTTAGTGGCTTGGAACAGCTAGAAGCAGTATCAGAATGAACTCGCAATCCCTCGGTCCATGTAGAAGGTTTGTGAGGGTCAGCCTAGTTCGGTAAATTCCACCGCAACCGCCAGAACATGTTCGTCTCAGTCCCTTCAAGGTGGAAGTGGAGTGGCCGGGTCCACAAGCCGAGGTCCAGGCAGGAGATCTGGGAAACTCCTCTGCCCAAGCAGCACCCACACCCTACTTCTCAGTAGCCCCAGTTTAGATTGGGGTATATGGCGGTTGTATCCAATGTGTAACCGCGGTGCATAACCTGAGAAACTCGTAGGTCTTCAAGAGTCTCCAGTATGATGGTGATCCCCTGCCAAGCTATGAAGACAGGGCCTGTCTCTCATTTTCTGCCGAGAGGGTCTTGGTCGGACGATGCCCCAAGCATGGTGCCATCTTTGATGGGAACTCCGTGTTGCTACACGTGGGGGGTCTGAAGTATGTGTTTATTGGAGTGGTCGTGTTCGCCTTTACGGCGAAGTCGCGCATCACGGCGTATGTCTCACGCGTGGGCAACAACGATGTTCCTTACCCTTGGGCGGTTGATGAGCAGGGATGGCGTTACTTGATGATCGAATCAGTCGTTCTGAGCAGCAAGCTGTTTGAGAGCGACGGTGATCCCTACGACCTTTACTACGACCGGGGCGTGATCACGGCACAAATACACACTGTGCCGCCCCAGGAGCCCAAGATGCAGTTCCAAGGAATCGTAGAGTTCTGGATCGGAGAGAACCGGCGCGGGCTTAGATATCAGACACGCCCAGAAGTTGACTTCGAGTGTCGGGCTGGTCAGGGGGAGTTCTTTGTGGTGAAAGGTGATGCTGCTGCCAAGATTAAGCTCTCCAAGGACGATTATGTGAAGTTAATGCACGACTTTGCGGATGAGATGGGCTTTGAGCCTCTCAGTGTAGAGACCTTGCTTGAGCGGCACATGTGAAAGATGCGGCAATGCATTGTGGCATGGGCAGGAGGAAGGTGACGAAGCATGGCATTCCGTTGATGTTTGGTACTCTTGACCCCTGTAGCATCTTGTCCGAAATCTAGCGGAAGCAAGGGCCGTTGAAGTACTCCCAAGCCTGTTGCGCTGGAGCCCCAAAGTTCCATGAATCCCCAAGCGACGGGAGCGTTAGGTTTGCCCCAAGAGTCGAGGGGACCGGCCACCGGCTCTCGGAAATGTGGACCTCGATTATCGTTGGCAGTTCTTTGCCCGAGGAAGGTCACCAAAAGACCCGAAGTTTTGAAGCCCTGGACCTAAGTCGAACCCTCGAAGACTCAAAGATCCAATCCTCCCGCTTTGCACTCCAAACCACCCCGCAATCTGAACGACTAGAATCCGTAATTACCGAAGCTCCCGTCCAACGGGCAGAACGCTCTCGGCCCCTTCTGTAGAGCTCCAAAATCATAAAAATCGGTCCCCAGACAGCTGTTGTCGGCCTTTGCGTGTTGTCGCTGGCCCTTGATCAAGCCTGTGTATGCCTGCCTACAACGGATAGCACGGCAGTCTTTCTACCCCTTGCAAATCCTTCCTTGAAGGTCCTGTGAAGACAACTCCAAGAAGCCCCTACAGTTCCTAGAGGTCCTGAAGCTTTCCCCCCCCTTAGAAAGGTACCTGCTGAGGTTCTCCCAGACGTGCCTATTTTTTCTCACCGGAAAACCAGCTGAGGTTCTCCTCCTGGCCGGCTTGTCAGAGAGGCGACTCGAAAGGTCGGCAGCCAGTGGCCCGACTTCTCAGCCGTGTTGCTGTAAATTCAAGCTTCAGTGTGGTTTCACGATTTTGTGATTGTCCCTCTTGTTAGACATGTGCGCAAGGCCCCTTCCAGCACCCGACGGAAACGATTCATTGGGTGCTTCTTGGGTTGTGCTGTCATGGTTTGACAATGCCTGATGGCTGTTCGGCAACCTGCATCTTAGCGAGTCTTAAAGCCACGAACGACATAGACTGTGCAATTTACCAGGGCCGGTGATCACGGTGTCTGACAGAACCGTCGTCGGGGTGGTGCAGTCCTGTTTTCTCAGCAGTGATGGGTTCTCAATTTCGTCACAACAATGGTTCTGGCGCCTGCAGGTTTCAATGTCGCCATCTCTGCCTGCGCTCGTGGTGAGCTGCTAGACGGAGTGCAGATTTCCTTTTCGGGTTCGTTGTGAGCACTGACTCCATACTGGCAGTTTAAGAAGGGATATCAGGGGGAATATTTTTCGCCATTGAGGTCTCAAGGACAGGTTGACTTCGTACTACTACTACTACTACT